TTCTCTCTGGCAGGGGAGGGACCAGGGATACCTGCTTTTTACTTAAAGTTCTTTAATATTTTAACTATGTCCTTTATTCCTTTAATAAACTTTAAAAATGTATTTTAAAGAAAGGAGTGAATACTCAGAATCCCCTAATGTCATCAGAGCTACCACCAGACACTTGCCTCCACCTTGATGGCGCACCTTCCAATGGCCCGCACAGCTTGATGAACAAAGTCAACATCTACGTGGGTGGCATACTCCTTCAGTTCTGCTAGAACCTGGTAAAAATCCAGGAAGTGGATGATTAGGAAGGACTTTCAAACAGCAATTTCATAGCCTACCTTTTTCTGAAAGCCAGATCTTAAGATCTAAGTCACTATAAATTTGAATCTGCTTTAGGTCCCACCTGAGCAATGTTGCCTTGGGATGCCAAGCGAATCTTTATGTCCAACTTCTCTAGTTTAACATAGATAGGGTCATTGTATTTCACAAAGAAGACTTTGATTTCCTGCTTCAAGATTCAGGCCTGCTGTATGAAGAAACCCAACAAGACAAGACAGGTGACACATATATTGCTATATCCTTCTGAGTCTACATATATCTAAGCTGTGCCTCTCTGCTCCCTATCCATTCCCCCCATGGGAAAAAAAATCCACAAACTTCCTCTACACCCCTCTATTTGGAAGACATTTTTACTCCTTTTAATGGTCAGGATATATACTGCCAAAAAAAATTGCTGGAAGAATGACACTCTGCCTCCAGACAATGGCCTGCAGCATATTAAGCAGGCAGTAGCTAGGATACCATTAAGAGGCCCTCAGAAAACAAACCCAATTGGAGAGCAACACCAAGCATTTATTACAGGAACACTCTGAAATCAATGCCCTGCTGACTCTGGGCAAGTTCCTCTGCCACACATTTTCATTTCCATACATTAAACAGAGCTTAACACTTGCTTCTTTATATATTGATATTATTAGGTTTAATTCAATATTACACACACTATTATTATCACCAATTCATCTTTTCCCAATGTTTTCTGGACAATTAGGTTGATATTCCTCAGGGCGACATACCGCAGCATATTGTAGTAGTCAGAGTCCTTAGGTAACAACTCTAGAAATTTCATTAGGACTCTTAATGCTGAAAGCACCACCACTGAGTTGACATGAGATAGTCAGGGAGTTAGCTGCTCACAGATGCTGAGGGCAGAAAAGGAAAATTAACATCTTGAATTATAATTTCTTTGCTTAATCCAGTCTATACTGTGTCAGAGGTCCATGGCCCAAGTATTAAGAAATTAGAGAATCAATTATATAAGTCAAAGCTCCATGCACAGGTAAAACTGGGATCTAATACTGCAAAGCCAGCCAACTACAGGCAGAGCAGGGACATCAGAAGACTTTAGGAAATCAGCAATAAGGGATAGTCAAATTGGACGGAAACTGGCTAATAACCGAACTCTTGAAGCTCACACCATTTACCTTCCTTTTCAGAGTTCTGTGTCCCCTTATTATGTAAGGGCTCCCTGCCTTACAGCCCATTTCTCCTCAACCTACAGGAAGTCAAATTAAGCATTCTGAGTTTTATTTTATAGTGAGAGATACCAACCAAGTGTGGCTGAAGGTTTCATTGTAAGATGCAGGAAGAAGTAGGTTGACAGAGAAAACTACCCAACTGCTTGCCTTCAAGATAATAGAATCTTTGAGAGAGTTTTTGTTTTTTTAACAGAAGTACTGCAATATTCTCTCAACCTTTTCTCCTGCTCTAGTTCCTGCCACCTACACTTAAATGTCTCATGAAATCTTGAATATTTAATTATCTTTGAGGGTTCTTCAGAAACTAACCTAACTTTGATAGCTCTTGGGTAACATGAGCAGCTAGCTGACTATATTCAGTTAAGGATACAAGATGAATAAGCTGTGTTTCTTTCCCTTCCTCCCAGATCTCCTTGGCTAACTCCTTGACCTCCTTCAGTTCTTTATACAAACGCCACCTTCTCAGGGAGGCCTTCCCTGACTTCCCTTCTATATAAAATACAATTCCTCACCCCCAAATGGCCAGCATTGCTTACTAGATCTTTTCCTACTTTATCTTCCTTGTTAGCACTTATCATTATCTGACACATTATATATTATTTTATATATACATACTATATACACTTCTGCCCCATCCCTCAGAATACGTGTTCCAGGAGGGCTATGATTTTTTACTATCCACTACTCTATCTTCAGGGCCTAGAAGATCATGGGCTCAACAGATATTTCCTGATAAGTGTGAGATGTCAATGAACAACAGAAATAAAACTCATTGTAAAGTTCTTTCCAGAAGATACTTACTTGTGTTTTCAATGATGGAAAGGATCTATGAGGGTAAACTTTAGTGAAGTCCAGAGGGAACAATTTCCCAGACAAGTGAAGAGCACTTATGTTATAGTAGCTTGAGCTTCAGCCAGGCAAGGAAGGTTCTTACCTACCACAATTAAAATATGTCAGCTTTAGTACAAGAGCCAATATTTCTTCAGAAGTACTTTGCATTGTACAATGCCTACATATACAATATGTTAATAAAAATTAGTGAAGATTCCAACTGTAAACTAAACTGTATGTACGTGTATATGACATTTAGGAGTTTATTTCTGATACTGAGAGAAAATTTTTAACACTAAGGTGGCAAAGGGCTGAGAACAATCCAGCTTTGCCTTCCAAAATAGTCTCTAAATTCAGAGTGGTATGATTTATCTACCTAATGGAATACAGTAAACATAGAACTTTTTTGTGTGTGGTGCAAACACACTTTCCCTAGTACTGAATGACAGGTATAGCTCAGATCAATAACTTGTATCAAGCCACTTACTATGTACCTAACAGAATGAAAGTTTATCACTACAGTGAGACACTCAGAAACCGCTGTTTGCCAAATAGCCAGGAACTGCTGTGTGGAGATGTGAGACCACGATGAGGCAGGTTTTAGTGGAAGGTAACTGCACAGCTCACATAAGAAATGGAAAACACCAACTCAGAAGAACAGCTATATTTTCATGGTTTACTCTACTACCTAAAATGATCCTAAATTGAGTGAGAAAATACCATGAGACAGCAGTATCTATTCCATAAGCCACTAATCTTCCTCAACATAATAGACCCTTATTCTCACACAGACACTAGAACTTGTTCAATCAGACAGGACTCCCAGATACCACGGAGGCAAACAGACTGACCTCTGAGCCTCCCGGTCATCTTTAGGGTTGTAATTAGACAGGCAGTCCAGGATGAAAACCTGGCCCCATTTGGTGCACTCATTCAGGGCTGTCAGCAGCTTATTAATGTTCTGTGGGTTCAGATCAAGTAAGGTGCTATTTGGGTGAGATTCACTGATGTCAGCTAACGCTGCTACAGTATTAGCCACCACCTGGGAAAGAAGTAGATAAGACTTTGATTTACCAAAAACAGTACAACTACAGATAAATACTTAACCTTCAATGCATCACTTCATAGATAAACTCATCACCATTCCTGAACATTTTACATAGGCATCAGAAAACAGAAAACAGAAAACAGATAAACATAATCAGATGACATATATATAACTGCATCTACAAAGCCTCATGCAAATTTAAGGTGATAATAACAGCATAATTCATCAAGGGTTAAGTTGCAGTTTTTTACATTAACACCACTGAAGCTGGGATGCATTTTGTAATCAAAAGCATGTCAGTTTAACAGGAAGTATTTTTCTTTCCAGCTACCACAGAAAATAACAATGCACCTTATAACCATTGGCATCTTAGAATCAATGAATTATCTCAACTGCATCCTTCTTTCAGGAAGTATAAATGAAAAATTGCTACCAAATTTAAGAAAGTGCACTTGTATCCTGACTTACAGATCTATGAATCCACATTAGCTGCAAAATAAACAAACAAAATGAAATAAGCACTTGTTATCAAAATTATAGATTATTTTCAATATAACAAATCTACAACCAATGAATGTTTAACTTAAAAATGCAAAAACACCTAAACATAAAACAACAGGAAAACTACACTATGGCCCTAAACAAGTCCATTTAAAACCACATTTGCAGTGAGATTCCCAGTTGTTACTGTTACTGAAAATACTAGATATGGCTGAATATAAATATTCTTAAATATAAGTGAGACATGATGGGAGACAGCAGCTTTAGTAAATATGTGTATTAAAAACATTCTAAAAAATGTCAGCTCATGCGGTTGTGGCTGCATCCAGCCCACCATCTCCTGGACTTGCCATAAGAATGAGGAGGGAGATGTCTAGGCTGGCATGTGCATACAGTGAGACAACGAATTTGACCGGATCTGTACTGTTGGAACTCAACCAGGAGTTGGGAGGGGTGCAAGTTGTAGCACTCCAAAATCTCATGACTATAGACTATCTACGGTTAAAAGAACATATGGGATGTGAACAGATCCCAGAAATGGGCTGCTTTAATTTGTCTGATGGTTCAAGTACAGTTGGACAATATCCATCATATCATAGATAAATTTTCACAAATGCCTAGGGTGCCTAAATGGTTTTCTTGGCTTCACTGGAGATGGATGGTAATTATAGATTTGCTTTGTTTATGTCACCGTATTCCTATTATGTTAATATGTGTGTGCAAATTAGTTAGTAGTTTAAAACCTATACATACTTAAGGTACTATACAAGAAGATATGTCAAAGAAATAATCAATCCTCCCA